GAGATTGTCTTCTGTGCTCCCCATGCATGTATGAACACAGAGAGAGAGAGAGAGAGAGAGAGAGAGAGAGAGAGAGAGAGAGAGAAACACCCTGTCATCAGGATGTACTGAGCCACAGCAACCATGGCTTCTAAGTACTTGCTGCACTGCTGTGGTCTTTGTTCAGTAGTCTTTGTTCATTTAGGTTTTTACTCATATTTTTGGTGGTAGTAATATTAGAAGTTAATGTATATTTATCTGTTTTGTAAGAACATGATATCACAGATAATTTTTAAACTAACAAACGTATCAGTTGAACTGGTAAGAAAACATTTGAAGCTATGTGTCGTGGCATATGCCTTTAATACCAGCACTCAGGAGGCAGAGGCAGGCAAATCCCTAGTTTACATAGCCGAATTCCAGGTCAGCTGGAGGTGCTATAGGGAAACCTTGTCTCAAGGTGGGAAGGGGGAGGGAGAGGAGGGAGAGGAAGAGGAGGAAGAAGAAAACATTTGATTTCTAAATAGTTTATTATTCAGCCTTCAGGGATGGTTTCCAGTGATGTTGAGAGTCTTATGAAACTCTTTGGTGACCTGCATATCATAAGCAAGGCTTATAGTATCATTTTTATACTATCCCCTATCCAAGCCCCACCCCATTGTTGTGAAGGCTACAGTCCCAGTCATATTTACTGTACAGCCACCTGGAAGGAAGCCATCAGTGTCATTATAGTTGGCCCTGTGCCCATACTATCTTTTAAAAAAAAGCATCATCTCTGCTACTAATTAAATTTCAGGAAGGGTAATGTTGGCTTTTACATTAAGCATTTGAGAAAGGCTGAAGGCCGATAGATATGTTAGAAACAGCCTTATTCCTATATTGGTGGTTAGGTTTGTCTTTTATCGTCCTGATCCTGAGTTTGGAACATATCTGTCAATCACAGATGTTTTGAGGAGAGGAAGTCTATGTAATGTTCACATTTTGTGCTTCATCCTAGGGTCTCAACTTTCTTTTGTTTCATTTTCAGGGTTTTGTACATTGGCCTGGCCTGCAATACAGCTCGCTATATTTACATCTCCTACCTGGAAAATGCCTGGACTGTTCTCCCCATGGAAGTTCTTCAAGGTAAGCTAACAGCTGGAATTAGAAATATTTCTCTATCTTCAATGACTATGTAACAGCCCAGTGACCTTCAGGAGATCCACTGTTCTGTGATCTTGAAGTGGTTTCTAAGAAAGAGCTGATGTCTTAGTTACCCTGAGCGCTATCCTGTATTAAGCTAAACAAAGCTGGATTTACCCCACACCCTTGTGATGAAACAATGAAAAAAGAACTCTAAAGTAAATTCCTCTGTGCAGCTGTTAGGTGTAGGCATTCAAAGGTGGTTTAAAATATAAAGGATTTATCTTTCAAAGGCTTAGGTGCTTTTAATTTTTTAGATTAACTATACATGGTTTTTAGATTACATGTACGTATTTTTTTAAGATGGCTATAATTATTTTCTCTCTTCAGTTATTTTTATTGCATCTGGTGGTTTATAACTAATGTTTGATAGTCATGGAACTGTTTTTATGTAAACTTTCTAAATCTTTAATCAAAGATTTAGAAATCCTGGACTGAGTTCCTACTCCTGCTTCATTGCAGTTTTTCTCAAGATATAACTCTGAGGGCTGGAGAGGTGGTTCAGTGGTTAAGAGCATTGACTGCTCTTCCAGAGGACCAAGGTTCTCGCTTCCAGCACCCACATGGTAGCTTACAACCATCCATAACTCCATTTCCAGGGAATCTGACACCCTCTTGTGGCCTCTGTGGACATTGCATGCATTACATACATGCAGACAAAACAGACACATAAAATAATAAAATTTTCTAAAAAGATATAACTCTGAAAGATTTTTCTGGGAGGCTTTTGCCATCTGGTTTAAGAATACTGAGAACATGGATCTGTGTTCAAAGCTCCTTGACATATTACTGCACATGGTCCTGACTACTTTCTAAAAGCCCTGCTAGCAGCTTGGTCAGCCTGTATAATGATGGGCATGGTGATCAAGATAAAGGCTCAGGACAAGATCACCAGAGTTGAGTGAACTGTAACAATCTTGACTCCTAAGTTATCATACTAAAGAGCCTGTGATTTCATAATTTTATTAGCTTTATTAGACATTGCTATTACTATTTCCTAACCCAAAGGATGTAAGTGCAATTTAGCCAACACAACTTCCTGTCCTGATTTAGAGCCTTTACAATGAAAGATTCACAGTTGTTCATCTAAGTAGACTACAAAATTCAATCTCCTGCATCCTGTTCCATCATGACAACGAAAAGCTCAGCGGTTAAGAGCACTTGCTGCTCTTTCTGAGGACCCGACTTTGGTTTCCAGCACCCACACCAGGCAGTTATGAACTGCCTATAGCTATAGTTCCAGGGGATCTGACACCCTATTCTGGTCTGTGCATGCACAGGGTACACATACATACACTCAGGCACATACATACATACAAAATAAATAAATCTTAAAAGAAGAGAACATCTTTTCTTATCACTTCTATTTTTTTAATTATATAATTCAAAAGGATACATACCTTAAAGGTACTTTTCTCAGATCTGATACAATGGTATAATTGGCAAGAGAAAATTTGTTTACAAATATAGACAAAATTGAGTATATAACAGCAAATTATTGTTTGTCAGAAATAGGTAATTGCCTGTAATAATTAGAGTCCTGGAAGGTTTTGAGCTGAAGCACACATCTCAGCATTGTGTCCCTTGATAGTAAAGCACTGAACACGAGCTGCAGAGGAATCTCATGAGGAAAACTGAGACCTTGGCATTTCCCACTTAAAGTTCCTATTCTCTCCTCATCTGGCCCAATTGCTTTATTTGTTGATACACAAGGGTGTTCAGACTCCATAAAAGAATGGATACCTACTGAAAAAGTATATTTCAATAATACATGTATATATTATTTTTCTCCTTTTAACTGAATATAAATTAGATAGAAAAGGGCAGGTTGCATAAGAGACTCGAGAAAAAAGAGCACTCATGAAGTCAAGCATGGTGACTCATACCTGTAATCCCAGTAGGCAAGAAGATGAAGCAAGAGGATTTCTGTGAGTTCAAAGGAAGTCTGTGCTACAGTTTGAAACCCTATCTCAAAAAACCAGAGCAAACAAATAACCAAAAAAGATATCTGCAAAATGGTTAAAGGAACAACAGAAGAATTTTATCAGAAAGGAAAACAAATGCTATTTATTGTGAATTAAAACCTCACATCCATTTGGTTTATCAAAGATGTGTAAGGTGCCTACTATGAGCTAGAGAGTCACCATGCTGAATGTAACAAAACATTTTAAAAACTTAACTCAGGTGCTAAGGTCTGGCCATGTATTCTGGAAGTCAGATGTATAAACACATAATTACTACACAGTGTGAGATGGACACAGAAAAATGTGCTGGGTGGTAAGGAGCTCAGTAGAGGAGTAATTAGCTTTGTGAATTGGGGTGAAAGGCTGAAAATTTTATTGAGAAATTCTTTAAGGAAACCACATAGGAGCTGGAGTTTGAAGAGTCATCAGAAAGCCATCACATGGCCTATAGAGAGCAGCTATCTATTGGGTATGGGGCAGAGCCATGTGCCAAAGGGTAGATGGCAAAATCTGAGTGGCATCTTCAGGAACACGAGTGCCATGTAATGCTCTGATGAGCATCATATGACTTGATGGAGTGGCCATTCCAAGCTGCTGCCTGGGACATATTTTCCTGATACTCGTAGGCACCTCAGAATGTGTTGTATGGGGAGCTAGGCATGTCCTAAATCTACACAGGAATTCTGCTTCCCGTGGCCAGCTATAACTTACACCTCTGTGCTTCATTTTATTCTCCCCTGTCAGTGGAAGCCCAGTGCTCATCTGAAGCAAGTAAGAAGGATGCATGTCTCCTAGCCCAGCAGAGGGCTCTGTGGCCAGTTTCCCTAGAGTTCATTGTGTCTAAAGCTGAAGGAGATTGCTTCATTCCCTGTCAGAAGTGAGGGCTAATATTTGGGCTGCACAGATCCCTTGCCTTTGACATACACCCACCCCCACAGAAGGTAATAGAGCATCCGGGTGAGCTCAGTCCCACATCACAGGAATACATTTCTGACTGAAAGGTTTGTCTTGATTCAGCTGTCTGTATAGGGCTTGCCCAAATAAACTTTATAAAGTCCCTGGCCTTCAAGGAGCCTCTGGTTAGGATGTAATAAAGACTAGAAATCATTGTAAGGAACACTGATTTAATGATAGAACAAGCCCACTGTCATGGTAGATAACCTGGTAAAGGCTGGAAGTGAGGCTTAAGGATAGTGTTTGCCTAGCATGTGCCAAGACCCAGCATGGCAGGAAAAAAGATATCACTGACTGGGAAGTCGGGAGTTGGGGGGTTATTAACTGTCATCACTGATAAACTGAATAGTTGTCACTTTATTATTATTTTTTGTTTTTTACTAGTGCCACACAAGAGGCAAGAGGATTGTCTTAAATTTTTTATTTTATTATGGGGGGGGGGTTGAATGCAGGTGGCACGTGTCGGGAAGTCAGAGTACAACTTTCAGGAGTTGATTTTCTCCTTCCACTAGGAGTTTCAGGAATCAGACTCAGGTATGCAGGCCTTTGTGGCAAGTTCCTTTACCCACTGAGCCATTTCCCTGGCCCAAGAGGGTCTTTAAAAAAATGAAATGACCAGCATGGTGGTGCACACCTTTGATTCCAGTACTTGGAGGCAGAGGCAGAGGCTTGTGATTCAGTAGGCAACTAGTGGCAGCATCTGAATTTTTCCTGTTCATAAGGAGTCTGTAAATTGTTTCAAAAGAGAGTGGGTCTGAGTGCTAGAAACTACTACTAGATGCTGGTGAGGGTGTGAAGGTTAGTTTTACTTTATTCTTCAAGATCTAATTTTTAAAACTCATATGAATTTTCACCTTTACTTTTACACAAGAAGCATTTAAACACTCAGGACTGTAATCATTTGATAAAAATCAAAATCAAATCTGTTGTGCTCCTTTCCTGTGTGGAGATTGGTTATAGTAAATTGTTGCAAAACTCAGCAATAATGTGATTAAAATTATTCTTACTATTAAAGTATATTTAAGGAGGGCTGGTGATATGACTCAGCAGGTAAGATCACTTGCCTCCAGGCCTAATGGCCTGAGTTCAATCCCAGGGACCCACATGGTGGAAGAAAAGTGACTCTGTCAAGTTGTCCTCTAACCTCCATGAATGATGTCGCATGCATGTACCCATATACATACATGCACAAAAGTAATGAATAAATAAACGTAATAAAAAAAAGTTTTACATGGAGGATGAAGCCAGATAGCAGCTGCCTACAGAGGTCCTTTTGAAGATACTTATTTGTATGTGTATATGTGCCTGCATGAATTTATTTGCATCACATGTGGGCAGGTGCCCATGGAGGTCAGAAAAGGATGTTGGATCTCCTGGAACTGGAGTTATAGGTGGTTGTGAACTACCCAATATACATGCTATATACTGAACCTAGGTCCTCTGCAAGAGGTCCTTTTGAGTTACTTGAATTAACAGTATCAGTCCTGAAAGCCAAGAATAAGGTCTGGTCAGCTCTTTCTCTGTAAGATGGTGTACCAGGGAAAATGGGGTTAAGATTCTGATGAAAGACAGCTTTTTTCTGTTGCCAGTAGGAGGGCCTGTACTGATCTTTATGGTTTTACTGTCTTAAACAACATGCCCAAGAACCATGTTTTCCTTTCTCTTATGTTCTGGAATAACATAGAAAAATTATAAGAGGATTACCATCCAGCCCTTATCTGACAGTGTTATCATCCATATTAGAAATTTTCTGTCTGGCTAACACCTTGAAACACATGAAGTCTACTACATGAATAACTGATAGACAAATTCAGTCAGTAAACTGGCATACAAAAGACAGTGGTACATATTCTACAGTTGCAAAAGTTCTTCTAAAACATTTGATTCAAAGTAAAAATTTGTCTGTTTTTTATCTATTTGAAATGTCTTCTGCTCCAAGAATCCTTTGGCAATTACTTTAGCTTTTTAGATTTTTCTTAATTGTTTTCAGATGTATGGAGGATGTTATATAGTTTAGAATTTAAT